CTCGGGGCAAAATCAAAATTCCGAAACCTTACTGCACATCTACATGACACCCCCAACCATCTCTCAAAAGATTATTAGGCTACTGTGTAAAGTGTCAGAGGAGTTCAGGGAAGACGGGGCTTTTTGCATAAAAAACGTCATTTTTCGACCCCCATTTGACCCCCCGGGGCAAAATCAAAATTCCGAAACCTTACTGCACATCTACATGACACCACCAACCATCTCCCAAAAGATGATTAGGCTACTGTGTAAAATGTAAGAGGAGTTCAGGGAAGAAAAGTGTGACAGACGGACGGACGGACGGACGGACATGAGTAACAACAATATACCCGAACTTTCTTTAGAAAGTGCGGGTATAATAAGTCGAAGAACTTTCTGGTTTCATCATAATTTATATATCAACAATCATATTGGCTCTGAAATTAATATAAAATATACAATAACATTAGAATGGTACAATAAAATATAATAGTAGATATACATAGGAGTCATTATTCAAATAGTGTCATAAATAAATATTTCACTCTATGGAATGTTGTTACACTTTACATATATAAAGGGCAATAACTCTTACAAGCTAAACATACTTTCCAAAATCGTGAAGAGTTATCTTTCATATATAACCAAAATAATAAAACAGTAATGCATACCGGTTTGTGGAATCAAGTCCATCTGACAAACTGTATGGATCTTTTCAGATATGATGTTACACTATATTAATAATAAATAAATTCCTAAAGATATGCTCTTTACAATAACTCTGTATTTACACCAAAAATATTTCTTATGAAAATATTTACTTATATACATTTAATAGAATCTGAATAAATTAACTCATGGAATTATCAGATTTATCAACATCTGATCTAGACATAAAATATTCTATACACATAGTTTTATAAAGTATCAAATTCTTAGTTTCTTATGTATATCATAATTCATATTCTAATATAGATTAAAATATGTTAAAATATTAGTACTTACATATTTCTGTACTGTTTCTGTCAGTAAGTCAGTGAGAATTCAAAATAATTCACCAGATCTAGTTTTCTACGTCTGAAACTCTGAGATCTTTCAAACTGAGTAAATATCACTCACTAGACAATGTAAAACCCTTGACCAATGAAATGTAAATGTTCAACCAATGAATGAATGTGTGTGTGAAATGTATAGGTGGATCAAGAGGGATGGGTGGTAACACTTAATACCTTATTAGTAATAGAAGGACTTTAGATTCGAATTTATTTAATTATCTTAAATTTATTTTATTTATTTATCATTTCTAAATTATTTAATAAAATATACATCTACTACATATATTCAACCTAGTAACAACGAAGTTAACATCAATACACACGTAGGTGCCTGCTTTATGAGAAATTTCAGAAATGTATAGTTTTATCTTAGTTAAGGACAACTACAGAAAATAGGCCTTAAAATATCCCGTGAATGGTTTGATGAGCGTGAATTTAGATTAATGAAATTGCCTCTATTCATATAATTTGCATAGGATAATATAAGTTACCTAGGCCTAATTGGACCTAGATATCAAAGTTATTTTTTATTCAACCAAATGTTTTATTTGTAAACAAATCCAATCAAATGTATTTCGAGCTCTAAGTAAGATTAACGAATTGCTACAATGCATCGTAAGTCATGATGTTTGCTTTCCACATAGATAAACTATGAACTGTGACGTCATGTTTCTACCCTAGCCTCAAGCCATCTGTACGGGAATTAACACCCGGTTTTAATATCAATCAAAGCTCGTGTTACAAGCTACATAGGTAATACTATGTAAAACGAAATAAATAGTTACCGAATAACAAAGCTATATGATAAAGTTATAACTTTAATTTTTCAATCGTCAACGTTCCTTACTTATGCAGCTAATCTACCTTTGTCACCTGCACAAGGAGTTAGTATCTCTTAATTAATTCGATACGCAGGAACAAGTTTTGTAGCTTATATTACTTTATGATTACCTGTAAGCAAATACAACTTATTATAATTAAGGTGGGATTCTTCTCTGGTTTCTGACTAAATGAAATATCCAAATGTACTTTTGCTTATATGTCTTATATATTTAGGTGTATTTTAAACAGAAATGAAAAACAGCGTTTGAAAACTCTCAGGAATTATATATTTGGCGGAATGGTGGCGAATTTTTCCTTTGTCACCTGCACAAGGAGTTAATATTTTTAATTAATTCGATGCGCAGGAACAAGTTTCGTAACTTCTATGACTTTATGATTACCTGTCAGCAAATACAACTTATTATAATTAAGGTGGGATTCTTCTCTGGTTTCTGTCTAAATGAAATATCCAAATGTACATTTGCTTATATGTCTTATATATTTAGGTGTATTTTAAATAGAGATGAAAAACAGCGTTTGAAAACTCTCAGGAATTATATTTTTGACGGAATGGGGGCGAATTTTTTCTGTTTCTGAAAAGTATTATAGAACAATGAATTTAGTTATATTTTTTACACAGTGAAAGACTTAAAGAAATTTTCAAAGGTTAGTTAAATTAATGATAAAAGTCTAGCGTTTCTAAAAATATCAAATAAATATGATTTTTTCAAACAAACTAGAACTATGTTATCCCTCATAAGCTTCAAATAAAGGTACAGCTCTGAGCCAAAATTCCGAAAAAAGAATGCTTTCCCCTAACTAAACGGTCAAAACTTTTTTTTGTTTTTGTATCATTTTGTATCTTTATATGACAACTTTACTATATGTGAAAATGAGAAAAATTCAAATACAGAAAGTATATAAAATAACTATTTTTTTCTAAAAAAGAAAAATTAAAAAGAGTAAAAAAATTTGGAAAGTCAATATCCAATTGAGTTAAATTGGGCCAATTGGTTGATATCATTTTATAGACCATTTATGGTAGCAAATTTTTGTGCAAAAAGAAAAACATTTAATCTTTTGCAATAAAGGTAAGGATTGCATAAATGGCAACAGTATTTTTTTTAATGTCCAGGAAAAGAGTAATGACCTTGACCTGACATTGTCTTTAATATAAAACGATCGAATTTATTTTACTGATACCATCACTTGGTGATATTACTTCTTGATTCTGTGAAAATTTCATTATTTTTTAAATGCAAGAATTATGAAAAGAATCCTACCTTATATCAAATGCTGACTGAATTTTTGTGGACATTGTTTAACCACTTGATTGTCCAGGGATTTTTTTCCGTTGTTTTCCGATCCTTACAATGAGCACACGGCGAGTGTGACTGGTTGGATGGGGATGCTTTCTACTTCATAGCAAATAAGTCAATCTCCGATGTTAACTAACATGGATTATTGAGAAACCTTTATGACATTTGAAATTCACATTTTAAAAAATTCTGTACTCATCTTTGATTTCTGTTAACAATGATAAAATTTAATTATTATACGTATTATTTCTATTAAAATATATAAACAATTTTACTGATACATGTAAAAGAAGCAAAGATCTTACTCATATTTATGGTCTCTGTGCAAATCATATTCCTTCAATAACGTTTTCAGGGAAATTGATTTTTTTGTTTCCGCTTTTCAAAATATCAAGAGTATAACAAATAAATAACCGATCAAAATCTCGTGATAAAGGTGTTTTACATACTCACTTGCATGTTTCAGGTGTAACATATTTCACTAGGCAGAATTTAAAATACATTTGAACATCCTACATATTTAGAAAACAGTTTATATTGCTAAATGAAATTTTGTATTCAGGTTATAGTTTGGTAAATTAAATGTGTTATTTTTACTATGATAAATGTTAATGCCACGTAAAGGGTTTTATCAGGTACTATTATTTTGTATGATGGAATTCTAAATGCGTGTAAGAATGTTTTTTTTTTTTCATATTTAAATATAATGTAGAGGGTCTTGATGACACTTATAGTTTACAAATTTATGAGTTTTTTATTTGAATTAGGGAACACACATAAGTACTACAAAGTATGGAAAAACATAACATGTTCAAAGCATTAGAAACATAAATCTTGTTATGTTTTAGGATGAAATGCGCATAGATTTAGCCGTCTGAATGTCTTTTTTTCAATATTTAGATATAATTTCACACAAATTAACAACTGCACAATTAATGTCGGAAATGACAGAATGAAGGTGCTTTTGGCATTTTTTTTTTAAATATGATACTTTACAAACTATAATTTACTATCGTTGTAATTTGACAGGATTTTTTTTCTAAAGTAAACATTTTGCGCACTGAAATGATCACTGTAATCCTATAATGATTAGCTATAAAAAAAATTGTAATTATTTGCAAATAATTTCATTTATGTGAAATTTCCTGGTGCCTAATTTTATACAAAGCAGCTACACTGTTTTTATTATTAAACTAGTTTCACCCAATTTATATACCTAGTAATGGGTCAAATCAATCAGCAAAGCTCTCATTGATCATTGCTGGTCTGCTTATGAAAGGAGAAAGTAACGTTTTTGAACTGCTGATGTTTTCAAATATATACCATATTTCACATATATTACCCTTGTAGTTGTGATGTCGTTTTGAAGACGATTTGATCTGTTTGTTATTCACAAAAAAAACTTTTGTAAAGGAAGTGTTGTCTTTTGACATCAGCCATACTTGTAAGGTTTTCATTAGGTTAATATCAGGGTATCATAAAAGAATTCCCAACGAATCACACATTTTGTGTTCTCTGTGTCAAGATCGGAAATTGGCCGGAAAATCCGTGGATTAATCTGCGTTTAAACAATGACAATAAATAAATTGGGAAATGTCATTCAACAAAACAACGACAACAAAAATTATTGACGATGCTCTTTATTCAGGCTGTTGATTAATTAAAAAAAATACAAACATGGTTCAAATAAATTGAATAAATGTATGAAAACGTCAATGGTTTGTATAAAATATAAAATATTCTCAAAATTTGCTAATTCTAGATCATCAATTTTATTAACGTAGATTTTCATAATATTGGATTTCTTGAAATTAAAAAATAATACAACCAACAGCTAATCTTTCCCACACTTTTGAATACTGTGACCTACGTCCATCAGAAGTTGATTTCCTTTTAACTTGAACAAATCGGTATACCTCTTGACAATGGCAAGCAGTCCTACAGTGTAGATCATGGTTTGTGTTAACGCTCTGACAGTTGGCATTCAAACACTTGGCTTCTATCATTGCTGATGGTATTCGATTAACATCTCGTGTTATAACATATTTCCAAGGACAGGAACTTAGAGTTGAATAATGTTCATATCCTGGCATTGGTTGATCAAGTGGTAAGTCGGTAACAGTGATGTTTATATCATGGTCAAGGCGTAAAGTGTTCATGATACCTGCTGTTTCTTCTCGTAGTGAACCGTGACGACTAGCCAGGAAAAATGAATCCTTCAGTGATTTCACCCCAAAATGATTTTCTATCACGTTTTGTGTTGAATAGGTTATACCCCAAATGTGGAACAGAATCAGAAGACAAATCTTTGATAGAAAATAAAGTAAAGAAATATGAACAAATTTGCATTTATTTCGGAATTTAACATAATGCATAATACCTACTCGCTTAATATTTATTCACAGTTACGCACACCAAAAGTTTTATTTATAAGCCTATCAATTTTCTACTTTCCCCCAGAATTTAACGTTCATTATAGAATAAAAAGTTCAAATATACTATTTGTTTTAAGTTGAAAATCCATCATTAAAACAAATAATACTTTCAATTCCCTGTGTTTGTTGAATACAATATTTTATTGGGCTATGTCTTTATTTAAATTGTCTTAAATAAATTTACGAAGTAGTCATTTAAAAGATACTACCTTGAAACCCATGTTGTGTGTCTGTTGAACTTTGTAATGATTATTCTCTGAACAATAAATCGTTACTTTTATTTATATAGTCCTGCTAGATATTCTCAGTAAAGTAGAGTTCAGGAAGAGGAAATCTTTATACAGTGTAAGTACAAATGAAATTATTTCTTATAGTATACATATATTGAAGACCAGCCAATTGTTAAAAAACACTTTAAAAGCGTTTTAAATAATAAGTAATTATATATTCAGAGAGCGAACGTGTAATCTTAAAGATATGCATACTATTCGGATTTTTTATTCACAATTAGTTATCAGTAAAACAAAAGCACACAAATTTGGCGAAGATCCCCTTAAAATTCCTTTTAATATTGTTAAAATTCACCAGGGAAATTCTATCTCTTACAACCCAATGGCTACTTCTATAAAGACAAAATAATGGTATTCGTTATATGCACTACCTTGCTTAAATCAAATGTCATTCTAGTTTACCTAATTTTACTCTATCTGCATTTAATTATTTTTTCAAAGCCATAATTAAACACTTGGATCTCAAAATATTTACTTTGAATTCAATTTAATTTTTTTGAATGCATCATTCAAATGATAGTTGAATTTTAAATAAGAAGTATGGCAAATGGTATATAACGTATTTATTTCTCAAAAATCCTTTTACTTAAATCTCTTAAAGAATTAACATCAAATATAACGCAACAAAGGGGGGATTAGAATCATTATTCTCAAAAATGTATGAGTTTCTGCATTATCGAAATCTATGCACTTTTTGTCATTTAGAAGGATTAAGAAATTACCATCCAATTTTTTCTAAAGCTTATTCAATACTTTTTTGATGAAAATTATATTCAAGTCATAAATTTAACAAAGATGTTTCAATCAAAAAGGAAAAAAATCACGCTATAATTTTTAACTGGAATTTTTCTTTTAATTTCTTATGTATGCATTGTAATACTATTGATTTTTTTTCATTTTTTCCCCAGATATTTGCAAGGATAGCATTTCAGACCTACCCCCTATGGCACATCATTTCATATCTTATGTGTTGAGAACATCATTTCTGTTCCCAATTTCGAACGTTATATAGGATTTTTAGCTTTTATTCTGTACCTTGCGTCCATATCTTTGGACCAATAAAATAAGAAATGAATAATGTAATGACGTTAAGCCTAACTATATCTTATATAATCATACACATCTGTGGAAAGCTTTCCAAAATACATAATCCTTTTGGGGGAGGGGTAAACTTTATTCAGAATTATAAATTCATAAAAAAAAATAAAACCAAAAAATATTTTGAGCTCCTTCAAAAATCAGATTTGCTAAGAAGACAAGGAGGAATACGACATTGGAAAGAAGATTTTTTTGTATTTTTAATTGACACAAATACACATTATAAGTAAACAAAATAAAAAATAAAATCGCTGAAAGAAGAAGACATTTTTTCTTTTGAAAAACCAGCACGAAGTAAATAATTTAGCATGTTAGTGTACAGATACTTCCTCCAACATCATTGGAGGAAAAGAAATGGAATAGATTTTTTATACAAATCTTAAAATTTAAATACATGTATAGCAAACAAAACAATAAACACTTTTGTAAATATTTTTAGAGTTTTATTTATATGTGTAAATTCATAGATTTTACTTTCAAGAGTTTTATTTGCTGAATACAAAATAAACTTTCTAATTATATACAGTTTCCTTACAGAACGTCAATCAGATTTTAAAACTTGTGTTAAATTGATGACAAGATAAAATGTACCCATCTGATTGTTTACTATTTAGGTCATGAAATGCATTTAAATCCCCCTTTTGTTAATGATTTACAAGTAGTGGGACTTCCTTGACATGTTTGGCCTTATTAGGCGTAGCGATCTGATTTCCTTTCAGTAACGAATTTCATTGAGGTATTTGATTAACCCATTGCATTTCGAAGAACAAAATGTGTGTTCCTGAGTGTAAATAAAAATCCTACAATACGTGACCGGAAGTGTATTTTTATATAAATTGCTGATTGTTGTGATATGGAATTTGTTAATATTAATTGTAAATATAAACTATTGATTATGTAACTTAACACACACATATGTTCAGAGAATAAAATCTAATTGTTATTTAACCTAAGCAATTTTTTTATGACTTGGAATTGGATTTTTTTTTAATTAAAAAAAAAAGAAAAATATTATCGAATTTTACGAGTAAAACATATCTTATTAAATACAATGTACATTGTACTTATTTATAATTTCCATTTTTACAGATATCTTTATGTCACCCAAATTTTCCCTTCACAAAATAACATGTCATTCCACATTTTGTTTCCATAACATACCTTTCAACATGAAACAACTATTTTAGATTTGTTCTCCAATGAGTCTGCTTTTAAATTATATGACAGAACAACTAATTTTTGTGACAAAGGTCATTTCTTCAATTTGCCACAAACATATTTGATCAAATGATGAAATAAGTGTCATACATTGATTAAACAAAAATGACTGAATTCAGTAATAAATCTGCAAAGGTAGTCAGTTAAAAAAAACGTCTATCAATAAAAATACATGAAACATGAGTAAAAATGAAATGTGATACAATTACAAATTGACAGGATCTATGATATAGTTTTATTGTATAAAAATGTGCAATTTCTTTGACAGCCTGGGTACCTATGCTTTTTTGCTAAAATACACATTAGGCGATTTATTTGCCTTTCCTTGGTTTTTGAGAATTAAGAGACATTTTTAAAAGCAATTTCAATTACTCAATGCCAGCTTTTCACAACCAACAACAAAGTATCTTAGTACCCTTAGAGACCCTAAGAGAGTATTTCCTGAAAATTATGGATCAACAATTCGAATGGATTTAAATAGCATTTCTTTTAATATCAGCTAGCTAGAATAATTAAAATAAACTTTCAACAAATGTGTTTCGATGCTAGTCTTTATTTATTTGATATAAATATTGTGGTACATATATTTAAGCATTCGATTACCATTTTTTGAAAGATGCAGTCTTATAACTGAAGTGGTGTGTGCAAACAAAATGAGAAACACCCGTTAGCGCGTCATGAAACGAAAATAGTCCACAATAAAACAGATAACAATAATCTAAGTTTTATTTATTTTTCAATCTAAAATGATAAACTATATTTCTGTAACAAAGAAATGCAAATTGAAAGTATGACAGACATATTTTTTTGTTTTGTTTATAAGGTATTGGCGTAGTACCCGTATTTATACGCCAGGCAGACTTTGGTGATTTAGTTTTGTGTATGTGTATTTATCACTTGTATTTTTTTTATGCTTTTTATTTGGGTCAAACAAAGTAAATTTAATATAAATGTTTGCTAATTAATAAATTTCCTTAAGAGATATTATATATTAATTTATTGCAAAAATCTACGTTGTTTACGTACACATTAATCAATATTATTTTTTTTCCAATCCCTTTCTTAACAGCAATGTTCATTTCGGCTAAGTTTATGCTGAATTAGTTGACAAAAATGAAGATATTTGTATACCTTTCATTTAACGCAAAGATAATAATATACGTTCTTTGTAACAGAATCATTCTTAAAAAAGACAATATTGATTGCATTCATTATTATCTATGTTCTAGACTATATTATGTAATTATAAAATTTTATCAAACAAATTTGAGATTACGTTAATTTAACCTGCTAACCTTTATAATCTACCTGCTTCCTCCATGAAGAGTTTGTTCTAGACTCGTGGTTTAATTTTTTTTTCGTTACGGAAGTGTTTAGCTTCTTATGATTTCATCCCAATTCTTTTTGTTGTTTTATATTATTAGATATATAGACGGACTTTTTAATTGGTATTTAATTAAGACGGTTTATATTTATCCATAATTGCGACCGGAAACTAGGTTCTTATAAAAGGATTCATAACAAGAATAATTAATATTGAAAAACTGAGAAGTGAATCTATATACATACAAATAAGATCAAGAGCATGGGGCAAGAAGGACAACAAATGTTAAAATTGATTATTTTGGTATTTAATCATTACCTTTTAATATGTATTTCAAAAATGCGATCATTTTGGGGGGAAAAAATCAATTTCTATATTTGCCAGCTATATCAAAATTGGCATTTTCTATATGAATTTAAATGGTCAAATTTTAAACAGAAAGTTATTTTTGCAGGTACAATTATTATTCATTTTTCAAACTGGTGCAAGTTTCAATGTCGAATGTAGCAGTCAGCTTCAGCTTTCGTTCACGAAAGACGAACAGGACGTAATCAGGGAGAGTCAACACACAGCTCAGTTCTGAAATATCTCGAATAAGACGAAATGTGAAGATTTTAGAATGAGTTCAGATGCTAGAAACTACATACCAACCAATGAAGCCGCCAACTGCCCTTGGATTTTTACAAGGAATATTGATCATAATAGGATACCATCCACGTTGTGGGAGGCGAAGTGCGTCTGTCATTGCGGCGTGAATATCGTTGATTGTCTTCATTACAGATGCATGCCGGTATATACATATCCTTATCAGCAATGTTCATTTCGGCTAAGTTTATGCTGAATAAGTTGACAAAAATGGAGATATATGTATACCTTTCATTTCACGCAAAGATATAAATGAATGCAATCAATATTGTCTTTTTTAAGAATGATTCTTTTACAAAGAACGTATATGTAATTATAAAATTTTATAAAACAAATACTGGGATGACGTTAATAACCTGCTAAATATTTACCTGCTTCCTCCATGAAGATAGACTCGTGGTTTATTCCTTCTTTTTTTTTGTTACGGAAGTGTTTAGCTTTGATGATTTTATCCCAAATTGTTTTATATTATTAGATATATTCTCTCTTTAATTGGTATTTAATTGGTTTATATTTATCCATAATTGCGACCGGAAACTAGGTTATTATAAAAGGATTCATAACAAGAATAATTAATATTGAAAAAATAAGAAGTGTATCTACATACAAAAAAGATCAAGAGCATGGGGCAAGAAGGACAACAAATGTTAAAATTGATTATTTTGGTATTTAGTCATTACCTTTTAATATGTATTTAAACAATGCAATCATTTTGGGGAAAAAATCAATTTCTATATATATTTGACCGCTATATTAAAATTGGCATTTTCTATATGAATTTAAATGGTCAAATTTTAAACAGAAAGTTATTTTTGCAGGTACAATTATTATTCATCTTTCAAACTGGTGCAAGGTTCAATGTCGAATGTAGCAATCAGCTTTTTCACGAAAGACGATTTAGGACGTATTCAGGGAGAGTCAACACACAGCTCAGTTCGGAAATCTCAATAAGACGAAATGTGAAGATTTTAAATCTTCAGACTAGAAACTACATACCAACCAATGAAGCCGCCAACTGCCCTTGGATTTTTACAAGAAATGTTAATCATAATAGAGTACCATCCACATTGTGGGAGGCAAAGTGCGTTTGTCATTGTGGCGTGAATATCGTTGATAATTTTCTTCTGTCTTATATTTTTATATCTGTAATGTATTGTGCAATATATTACAAAACAGGAATATAAAACGAATCAATTATGCGTTGGAATAATCGTCATTTACAAATTTTGTAGATTACCAGAGTATATTGCAAGTATTAATTCATACCCCAACCTATTCATTTGAGACTGTTTATATAGGATGAAAAGGGCGAAAAAAATGTTTGAAAATTTTGGAATTTTAAAGACATATTTCCTTAGAAGACAATTAATTTCTTTAAAAAAAATCTTTAAAATGCATTAAGCCGATATCAAGGTGAGGTAGCTACAAGTTCTTTTTGTAAACTTGTAGATCATTGGTTTTCTATTAATGAAGTTGACATTTTTTATTTAAAAAAATGTACAGTACGTACTAGTAATAAACTCATTTTTAGTACATGTTGTATTCTATGATTTACATTTTGGTTCCCTCTCCTCATATAAGCTATTTTATATATTTTACTGAGAACAAAAATAATTTTTGTTATTTCAAAATATTCACATTTATCGTCCCTCGTTGTTATCTCGCATATTTCTAAACCATGGAATATTGTATTTCTTGGGAAGTGAAATCTCATGTGCGAACAAATGCAAAATAAAAATATTGAAAATATTTCATTAAATACTCCATCACTGCTTTCTAGAAGACACATGGGTATGCATAAGTATTTTATCCTTAATGTTCCAAATTCTTTGTATGTGAGTATTTGAAAATAGGATTGTTTTTCTATAGAAAAGCAATAAATGCATGTTAGTAAATGATTCGTCGATTTATGAGCTAATTAATGTGAAGCTGTTTGAAATGTTTGAAACTGTGAGTAAAGTGAGGTTCTGTTTGTTTAAAGTTAAAAAAAATTTAATACTTTAAATTTCATTTAAAATTTCAGAAGATTCCGCTTTATATATACTATCCTGAGGAAAATTATGTGCATTTAAACAACAATTGTTATAATCTTTGGCAAAATTCTACAACCTTTTCCCATTAAATCAAAGACCTGTCTTCATAGAAATGTCTAATTTTTGGATTAACTTATTCAAAATAGAAGCACAAGACAAAAATCAATTTAAGCAAAAAAATATGTAACCGACTTAATTGCCATTAATAACTTGTGTACCGCTGAGGAAATGCTTATACTTCAGAATCATTTTCTACAGATAACCTTTACAACTTTAATATAGAAGAACGTATTCATTGGGGGAGGGATAAATATTTTTAGAAACGATTTGAATATACATAAATTCAATGTGTCGAATATGACACATACACATTCCTCATTGTTTTTTAAATAATATCAATGTTTAACATAAATCAGAACCATATAAATGGCTCCATATCATTATAATCTCATAGAACTTTTATAAGAATTAAAAAACTTTCGTTTGATGATTTTAGGTTTAAGACTAGAAAAAAAATAACCATTTGGTTGTTCAATGTTTTGACCAGGAAATCCTTTTCACTGATTCACGGATTAAAAACCAATAAAAACCTCTTTCGTTTGCGATACGTGTAATTAGGCAAAGCAAATGGATTTTTAAACAAAATATCTAATTTACTTTATCTTTCAAATGTGTTTTTTTTTAAATTGAAGCCAAAGATCCATTGTAAGATTTCAAAACTTTTTTATACTGGAGGACGTGACCGGAAGTATATTTATAGCATTGATTTAAAAGAATAGTTGTAAAATACAGGATGCGTTGTTATGCTTGTTAATTGTAAACAGAGTGATTTAAATTATTTATGATAAATGTACATAATGAAATTAAACTGATAATTTCTTTCTACTTCATCTACAAAATAAATTAATTTTTAGGGGAAAAAATTATAATGTATTTGTGAAAAATTTTAACATAACATTTCCTAATTTAACATATCAAAATTGGTTCAAATTTTTTTTCTTTAATATTTTTTTGTAAATATATATAAGAAAACAAATTTCCTTTTAGAGCATAGATGGAACCTATTGTCATGGAATAGTGACCATCCCCTGTCGACCGGTCACGTCCGCAGTGTACTCCTTATCATACACTGTAACAAAGAAATGATGGGAAAATGTGTAGACAACTCAGTGTAACTAATGATCTAAGAATTTGTACGAAACATTTCTGACAATACATTTATGAATTGTTTTTACCGACATATTTATTGTATGGACCAAACCACTTGCAAAATTGTGACTTTAAAATAGCCTGTTGATATTTTTATCTATGTATTCAAAGAATTGATTTCGTAAAAAAAAATTATTTAAAAATCATTCTTATAATGGATAAAGATAAGATATACACAATTCAGAATATATCACATTCATAAATGTTTAGAAATTAAAAGTTCTTTATGGAAAACGTAAACAAAATACTCCTTATTTTTAAGGCTCACCGAAAAGTAAAACCCAGATTTTATACCAGGCAGGAAGTAAAAATATAGCAACAAATATTTCTCAAAACAAAGAGAAATAATTCCTTTTTGGTTTACATATAATAGTTACTGTGACATTTTCTGTTTTTCAGTACTTTCATACATTTATGTCGTAATAGTTGGGTTGCTGTGATAAGGTTTTAATAAAAATTGCAGATATCCTTGTATAATATTGTCTTATCTCTTAATCACTTAAAAACACTTTCATTTACAATTAGTCAAGAGAATTTTATTTCTTAATATTTCATATGCTTACGCTGTTTCATGTTCAAATGAAAATCCATATCTCATTTTGCTCAATCAGATATATTTTATTATCTTTGATCAAGAATGTTTACAAGCACATAAAATTCCTTGTTCGGCTGATAGGTGTTACAAACAAAATTCAAAGCGTGATTAATTTTTCTAACAAAGAATTCTCATTTTCTCTTCTATTAAACATATGTTTTTTTTATTGATTAATAATAAGTTTAATCACTAAAAAGTAAAGGAATAAAAAACGGATAATTATTTTTTCTCCTAAGGAATCATTCATATTTTATTTGTTTTCATGATATATCCAGTATACATGTAATATTCTTTTGAAAATTAAGCATCTCCACGACTGCTGTGATTTACTAATCAGTTAAGAAAGTGACTAAAATGTAATTATCCAAACATTGATTCAGTTTACATTTTTTGAGGGAAAAAAATAAGTGGATAAAGATCTAAGTCCTCAGTGGAAAAAATGTTGCAATTTATAAAACAGAAATAAAAGGTAAAACCACAGGAAAAAACTCCTGATTTTTGATTGACTGTGACACCAAATTCAAAAATAAAGAACGTTTTGGAACACATATCACGTAACATGCAGTTTATAATTAAAATTGAATTTCCTTCGAGACAGCTAACTGGTAGCTAAAACACTTTCTTTAAACCGGAAAGTTTTTGATATCACCCGTACCGTTATTTGAAATTAAATCCGTCTCTGAGATCACACTTCCCCTTCGTGGTGAATATTAGCTTTGTCACTTTCCCTTTAAAAATAAGCATATATAAGACTCCAAAACTATCTTTGGTAGATCCCAGATCACCAACACTTACAGAGGCAACAATGTACTCTCTTCAGGTAGAATATACACATTGCTTTCAAAAATGGAAGCGCGTTTATTTCTGTCATAAGTTTCCGCTAGGCTAAATCATTTTTCTTATGCATGCTCCTTCTTTTAGGTCAAGATCTAGTATATGAAAGGTGCCTTCAGTTTTCCTAATTTGAGAAATAAATTCCTTTAAAGATTCTTTATAAGTTAAGTTTGGTCAAAATAAGGTGCTTTGGGGCATAATGTGTAGGTAAACAAGATCAAAAATCATTTTTTAAACTGTCATTTTCAATGAAAAATTAAGAAATCCAGTCATGAATATGGGACTTTCTTCCATATCAGATAAAGAAAATGTATTTGTATTAGAGTCCTAAAGTACGGGAAAAAGAAAGTTGAAAGTGATTATGACATAAAGGATTAAGCACCAAAAGGTTAAGCTAAAGTCATTTACTAGATCTTGAGTTTAAGATGTTATGTAATTATTCTGACTGTGTGTAATAATGCTGCAAATAATATGACAACACTTATAAATATGATACGATCGATGTTATGATTTATATTTTATCTTTAAAGTTTTAAATTTAAATTGTTCTTCATTATCATTCCTGAATATCAAATAAAAAAAACTTTTACTGAAAATACTTTTATATTGAATTTAATTTATGCTTCGAAAACATTTGGTCGATTTAAAAATTTTGCAAACGATGACTCGAAAAAATCGTACCCATTTCAATAGCAAAGTTTTTCTACAAAATGACAGCAATGTTCAAAAAAGAGGGGTTTTTTTTCGAAACATTTGAAAAAAAAACTTGAAAGTCCTTACACAGTACCGGTAATATGAATAAAAGAATAAAAGAAACGTTTTATCATTTTTTTTATACCTTTCACTATTACATGTAGTCTTCTTTCAAATCTTTCAGATTGTAACACTGTTCATCATCGTATCTTATATACGAAGTCATCCAACACAATGCAGAGAACCATCCACACTGCCCACGTTGAGCAATGATCTACTAACTCAATCGGTGGCCATTTTGCCTGGAGAAGAAGGGATGATTTTGAGAGGATTAAACAGCGTCGAAGATACTTTTATCGACATCACCCGACAAAATATTTCCAACCATAGAAATTCTGGATTACAGTCTTGTTCTGTCCAAGCCACATGTCAATGGCATTTTGTTAAGAATATTGATCCTAACAGAAAACCAAAAACCATCATTGAGGCCCAGTGTAGCCACTCTTGTTGTAGAAGAAGTGAAAGCACTTGTTGTGACGTAAACAACGGGCCCGGATGTACTCGCTGCCAGCCTATCTATTATTATGTTCACGTGTTGAGACGTACAGGATGCGACACGGTTAGTAGAAGATATACATATGAAAACAAACTTGAGAAGGTCGTAGCCGGTTGTACCTGCATTAGAAGTCCTAATGTCCTTCGACCGATCTTGCCAACCATGCCGATTTAAATTTACTTATTTTATCTTTACTTCAGTGCAATATTTTTCTCTGTAAAAGTTCTTATCCATGTATTAAAGTTTCCTGTATGTATTATCTTTATTGAGTAACTTTACACTATGAAATATTGATACTATTTCCTTAAATTTTTATATCACAGACCTGATTTCTTTTTGTACGTAATACCTAGACAGGCCATGACAAAAGAGTGAAAACACAGGTTCTAATGTAATAATATATGTAAAATGAGAATATAAAGCAGTAATATCAAGATATGTATAAAGGTTTTAGCACATATTATTTGGTGGTATATTTTAGGCACTTTTAAATATAATTAAACAACTTTTAAATCTTTGAAAATATAATTCTTTTTTCTTTTGTTTATTTTTGTAAACCATTACATGTAATGGCTAGTGAATTTTAAAATTACAGCATTTACTTTTCATTGGATTTATCATTCGATGATCCCGTTTGTTTATAGGAATGCTGATTAAAAAGATCAAAAAATTATGTTTTCCCCAAAAAATATTTTTTCCTTAGTAATTCAATGCTAACAATGCATGAATGTATCGTATTACAAAGGATTTATTTTGTAATGTAATCTTTATAATGCATGGATGTATCGTATTACAAAGAATTTTTTTGGATTTCGAAGGTGAATAGATTAAAGGAAAAAAACTGCTACTAAGCATGGTAAGTTTGAAAGAAATCCCCATTTATTTAGACTATCTGCAAATCTGTATATGAATTGAAATTGAAAAAAATAAAGTAGTTACTTAAAATATTTTGAAATGTTTAATTTCTAAAAATGTTTAAAATGTTTAAATGTTTTTTTACGATGAAATAGGATGTCAGCAATCGATCTTTAAAAAACATATTTGTAGTTCAAATTTGTGTAGAAAAAATATATATCATATTCGTACCATATACATGTAGAAGTCTCAATTTTTGTTTTGATGTAAACTAAGTGTACATCTAGAACTCTAAAATAAAAATAAGAATTTTGATAAAATAAAGTTCCTTATTTTTGCATTTTTAAGTTTCAGTTAAATATAATGTGCTTTAGAGAAAAATAAAAGAAATATATTGGGACATAGTGGTAATTCTGAATAATTTCTTTTATTGTAATAAATAGTAATGCTCATAGTTCATAAACCTTTTTTTACGTTAGGATAAAAACACATTACTTTGAGCATTCAGAGAATTTTTTAAATTACTTTCAATTAGTCAATGTTTGATTTTCAGAACCTGATGATCGGAGAACCGAGAGCTTGATGTAAATCCGAACTTTAAAAAAACATTACGTTTAATACAAGTTCTATATTACATTGATGTTAAATTGTAAATTATTCATTATATTGAATACTTAGAGGGGTTACGAATTGTTTTTGTAATTGATTGCCAGATTATAATGCAATCTTACTATCATTGGATTTTTTTAACGAACTAATAACTGGTTAATGTAAGGAACTAATAACTGGTTTATGTATAAATAACTGGTTTATGTAACACTAATAACTGGTTTATGTACTGGTAACATATAAGTTACACTATTTGAAGAAAGTTACTAAAAGGCAAACGCACGTTCCTTTGAAACATTTTTTTCTCTGGCCTACACAAGGAGAGAAAATTGAATTTTCTTGCTTGTTCAATTTTCAATGCAAGAAAAATCACATTTTATGAGTACAGAAAGGTCAAGTAAATTGATAAGTGCAAAGTAATTTGAAACTTTTTTGAGTCAAAAATTTAAAGAGCTTTTTCTTAAAAGATAGATTAATAGTTTATTTGATACCATGAAAAGGACACATATTTCAGTGCAAATATACTGTAGTGTCAAAATAAGCACATTGATTCCCAATTTTTGTTTTGATATTTGATAAAGTAATGTGTAGAAACTAAAAATATAATGAACAAAAAAGTATAAGACTTGAAATATCAGAATATAAGTTCGTTAACGAAACATTGGACTTTTTTCTGGTAACTGCTATAATTGTAATTGTAATGCCTTTAGGCATTCCTCCGCTCATATTTCAATAAAATACAAGTACAATTCACTGAAAATTGAAAATAAATGTATCATATCAGCTTTGAGGAAACAATTTTATGAAGCTGCTTATGACATGCTTAGTACTAGACCTGTATACATACTAAGTCTTTTAAAAATGTTAAGTAGTCAAGTTTAATTAATTCAATAAAACGTGTAAAACGTGTAAAAACGTGTAAAATTGGCTAAAATGTTCACTAATACATGAATTTCCTAGCTATTGAGTAACTACATGTATTTCCCCAAAACGACCAGAATATAATCTTTTTACTGAATGGTTTTGCAAATGCACGAAATTAGTACTAGTTTATAGAGATTATTTCAAACAGTGTTCTAGCTTAAAAGTCTGTTACAGTACACATTCAGTATTCATTTAGATATAAGGCAATATCAAATGAATACGGTATATACATGTGTGTTTGTTTGATATGAAAATAAACATGTCGCTTTGAAAAAAAGCCCACCTCCATCTTAAATAAAGCATTTACTGTGACAGTTTTGCGAATTCAATTTTTTTTCAAGATGGCCATCGATTTTGTTAACATCTCACCTAATTTATTTTGCTGTAAAACAAGTTATTTCAACGGTTTTATTCTTCCAAGAATGGGAGGAGAATTTTATTCACTTGCCAGGATTCCGATGGCCTATTTAAAATTCAAAATAGCACAAGATGTTTTAGTAGACTGCCCAATGAAGATTACAAATTCAAGCTTTCCAAATCATCTATGAGGTTAATGTTTGTAACAGCAGACTTTTCATTAATGTTAACTTATAGTCTACCCCCATTTCACACATATATACTTCACACCTCGAACAAAGGGTTTTTGCTGCTACCAAATCACTTGGTACACCCCAAGCCCAAGCTTCATGGTTTAGTGACAGTGCCATTGTGTGTATTATTATTCAGCAAATCATTAATAATGAAAGGTAATTGCATGCAATCATGGACACGGGCAAGTCATCAGACAATGAATAATAGATCTAATGTGCTACATAGTCTAAAAAATCTACATAATTACATGAATTAGTAAAGAAATAAAGATCTCTTTCTCTTCTCCTGTCTTTCTTCCTGATTTTTTCAACTTTAGCCAAATTAATACATGAAAAAAAAATTAAATTATAACAAAAGTTAAAGAAAAATTTAAGAAATGTCTAGTAATTGTTTGAATATTAATAATTTACCATTTATACTGGTACTTTAATCAGAATTATTGAGAAGTGAGAACAGTAAAATTTTACTTACTATCTAATTTACTCTTCGATTCCAATTAAAAGATATGGACTGATTGGGACACAGCAAAAAGTCAAAATATGATTTTTTAAGAAGTTCAAATATGCAGGAACCGGCCTATGTTGCTCAAGTAGTATACAGGTACATCCAACTGTAAACCTTTCTTAATACCCCCCGCTTGAAAAGCGGGAGGGTATATAGTAATCGTTAATTCCGTCCGTCTGTACGTCTGTCCTTCCGTCCGTCTGTTACGCTCTGGGGTACCCATATCTTATCCGCAACTCCTCTCATATCACTGAATGAAATTTAATGAAACTTTCACAGAATCTTTATTACATATTGCCATTGTGCACCTCCTATTTTACTTTTTGATCTGACATATATTTTGGATTTTCCAGAGCAAAACATGGACACTGCCATTTTATTCATATGGGAGGCGGGGGGTATCATTTAGTGAGCTCATTGCGCACAGTACCTCTAGCTAGTTTTCCTGCTTTTTGTTTACTGTGGAATTCTTTGCTCTTCAGGAGAAATTTTTCAATTTTACCACCAAAAAATGTTTAATAATGTCCACAAAACTAAAATGCTCCATTAAAATTACATGACTATTTTCATAAAGAGATTTTTGAATCTATAGAAATGAACCTGTTTCAAAATTACTCACTGTAGACCCCACCTGAAAGGTAGATATTACCCTGAGGGTATAATAAACACATCTGGGCCTGTACAAAATGGCAACAGTCAGGGTCAAACTATCGTTATCTTGATTAAATAATAAGAAACACACAAAGATTTGTAATTAAATAGACAGAGACACAAAGGGCTTAATTTTTCGTGTGAAGCATGGACTAAGTATGCTGTTAAACTTGCCCCTCGGCATTCGATTTGGTCCCTCGCTTCGCTCGGCACCAAATCTCATGGTACTCGGGAAAAGTTTACCAACATATACATTGTGTACTTTTCATTGATTTAAGGAAAGCATTTGATACTTCAATCACAAGGTTTTAAAGCACAAACTTAAATCATTTGGTATATGTGACGATACTTTTGAATGGTTTAAATCGTACCTAGTAAATCGTGTACAGAGAGTTATTTGGTAAGGAGATCTATCCGATGAAAAGGATGTTACTAATGGGATTCCTCAAGGTTCTATTTTAGGCCCACTGTTATTATCCTATTTATAAATGACTATCAATAAGCACTGAAACACTGTTATGTAAATATGTATGCAGATGATACCTCACAAGATGTAACTGAAAGCCATTAAAGTCAAAGCTGGTAAATTCATTAGAAAACATACTGCAACGTAGTATACATGTATATTGGATTGAGCAAAATAAATTCAGTATAAATTTGTCTAAAACTCAGTGTGTGCTTTTTGAAACATCACAAAAATTATCAAAATGTTAAAAACTAAATTAAGGTGTAAATAACCATGTCACAGAATGCGTACAGGAGTCAAAATTACTCTGTATTATAATTATTGATAAAACTTAATAGCTTTGTCCTGGAAAAGTCACATTGAAGCACTTGTATGCAAGATCTCTAAGAAAATTGGTATTTTGAGAAGAATTGGATATATTTTATGTCAAATGATGCATTGTTGAAGATTTATAATATCATGATTTGCCTCTTTTTACATGCTGTTGTACTATATGGAGTAATCCAAGAACTGCTAAAAATGTGAAAAAGCTATCGATATTATATAAATGGTGCCTGTTTTGGAGGGTAACAGTTGAAATTGACACCCCAAGGAAAACCATTGTCAACCGACGCGTCAGCGGAGGTTGACAATGGTTTTCCGAGGGGTGTCAATTTCAACTGTTGACCATTTATTTTATTATACTGAATGTCTTCTTGATTTACTATGTCAGCAATACAAAATCGCCTTTTCGTTCACGTTTAGAAAGCTTTCAAACTCCCCGCTACTTCGAAAAAGATTTACTAACCTCTTTATTGTTTTTTGATACTCTACGAGTCCTTTATCATCTAAAGTTTCGTTATTTCTGCACTTGCAAGGATGTTTCGTCTGTCGTTTGTTGTTTTCAAGTAAGCTGCATCGGCCGCAAGCTTTTATTGACGTCAAGTTTATTCCGGTTCTTTCAAACGCGCAACTGACGTTTTGAGAATTCTACGGTGAACCGTACGCGCATAATTTCCACGCATGTGGCATTACCGTTGCGTAACCCGTTGTCACCTGTGTTGCTAAGGCTGAGGGTAATAGAACAGATTGTTAACTGCGTCTAAACCAATCAGATTTTAGTATTTAACATGAAAGTATAATAAAACAAAAACGTACAGGGTGTTGTTAGGGTCATTTTGAACAGCAGAAATTTTCAAAGGCCATCTTTAGTAATGTTTCCTAAACTTATTTGGATGCCTCTATCAGATTACTTTATTTTTAGAATAGTCATTTTAGTGTATACAGTAGTACGTGGATTGATGCCTGATTATTTGAATGTTTTAAATCATGTATCAGATGTTATCCATAGACAAACAAGAATATCCTGATCAAATTTATTGTATTATAGAACTCAGGGCAAAACCTGAGTGTAATAAGAGGTCTATCATTGTTTCAGGTTGCAATGAATGGTCTACATTGTGTGAAACATAAGAAATTCAACAAGTGTTGTATGATTGAAGTGAAACTCTATTAGAGAATACAACCATACATCTTAATTTTGCTTATTTTTATTTCATTTTATATTTCAATTTTTTAGCTCACATGAGCCAAAGACTCAAGTGAGCTTTTCTAATCATAATTTGTCCGTTGTTTGTCGTCGTAGTCGTCGTTGTCGTTGTTGTCGTTGTTGTAACATTTTCATCTTCTTCTCAAGAACCACTCGGCCAATTTCAACCAAACTTGCTACAAAGTATCCCTTGGGTAAAGGAAATTCAAATTTGTTCAAATGAAGGGCCGTGCCCTTTTCCAAGGGGAGATAATTATGAATTGGAGAAAAATTAATGAAATTTAAAAAAATCTTCTTCTCAAGAACCACTAGGCCAGGAAAGATGAAACTCATGTGGAATCATCCTCAGGTAGTGTAAATTCAAGTTTGTTCAAATCATGACCCCCGGGGCTAGGGTTGTTTTTTCAAATCTTCTATGTATTTTTTTTCTTTTATACTGTACTTTGATAATACCTGTTTGTATGTACGTATGTTATATTGCAGGACCATTTTGAAAAATAGCATTTTTGCTTAACAACCTGGATGAATAAAGGCTTTATTATTATTAAATATAGAATATTACACTTACGGCAGTTTTAATCTCGGTCCTGCTATCATCGAGACGACTGATATAGTCTGAGAGCAACTGACATAGACCCAAGCCCAGAGGGCGCATGCCGAGATCATCAGAGGGTATGCCTCTGATTCTATCATGGTGATTCAATGGTGCATTACAAGAAATCGATAAAGAAGAACGAGGTTTCTTCCAAATAGTCGAAGTTTATTGTTTTTTGTTACAGTTTAAACCTTCAACTTATATCTACCAAACTTTACATGACATATTTAATGTTGCTATAAAATGTGATTTTTCTAGATTAATACCAAAAATAGAGAAATATAACAACGATTTTTTAAAGTCCGAAATGGTCTCTTTCCGCACGAACAAAATCTGAAATAAAAAAGAAAAACAGAAATTCAAGAACATGTTACATTTAACACACATAGAATCCTGTGCGTCGTTTGTTTTTAAAGTATTGTTGAAATATTGTTAACTTCGAATGACGTCATGAAATGCACGAGTCGTGTAAGGTGATATAAAAATATTACATATGTGCTTTGACTATTTCAGAGCTCTAGGAGAAACGGATACCGAAGTGATTTCAATAACCTTTAGAGAAAGCTTTTAAAAAGAGGTGTTTGAATGCAATGAACGTCAAGGAAAATATATAATATTTCCTTTGTACCGAAACCACTTATGCCTGTAACGTAAGAAGTAATGGTCTTTTTCTATCGATGAAACCTTTTGACTAAATTTTGACTAACATTTAAATCCGATAAAAAAATATTGAAAATAGTAAGTTTTTATGATCCTTCAGAAAAGAGGTTTTTTATATTTTAAAAAATTGACTGGATTTAATTGGACGAACACGTCTTTTTTTGCATCAATATATAAATTATGCCTGTAAGATTCTAATAAATTGTCAAAAAAGTTTTACAAATAATTTATTTCTCTAAACAAATGACTGAACTTAATTACATGTCGTCATACCCTTATGCATGTTACAAACCTAAAGAAATAGTTCTTGTACATAACATTCTCTTCATTCAAAGCATTAAATTATTTATGAACAATCAATTTGAAAAGGGACAACATTCAATCAAATAAAATTGACCATGAAAATGAAACGCAAACATTGTTTTCAGACATACGTCCTACAAAGAAAACTGCATTATCTTTGTGGTAACTGTCCTTCATTGAGTCAATATTTCATTTGAATCCTTTATTTTCACTATCAAATTAGATCTTTTAACTGTTGTTCATGTTTCGAAGAGGCTTTAGTTTCAAGTCTTATAACCCTTACTCAGTCTCAGTTGTAAGGAGTTGCACAGTATCAGAATGATTTTCAAGTTCTATTTCGGACGTGACATCCTGCCTGGTCTCAGAAATATCCTGTTCAAATATTTGTTTGAACTCCTCCCAAAATTGATCATATCCACATTCTTCATCAGGATACTCCAAACAGGAATTATAATTCAAAATAGTCAATAATTCTTCTGTGAGTTCATTTTCTTTTACTCTTGGAAATAAAATAATATGAATGAATTTAAAATTTACTCCCCTTTCGATACCAATATCCATTGCAACCTTGAGGTCATATTTCCACATTTCAGATATTAAGTACTCTTTAGTAACTAAACATATAACACGTTTGCTTTTTTCCATGTTTTCTATTATAATATTATATTTGTTTTGCCCACCCAAACCTGCATCGTTACGACCAGGGATGAAGAGTTTAATGTTTAATTGAGTTTCAATATGTTCGACTATGTCGCCTGTCGCAAACTGATACATTTCATGCTTTTCATCTTCATAATAAGAAATATATGCGTGAAAATCGTATGTAGTAGTTTCTACTTGCATTGCAGAAGTTCCACATTTCTTAAATACCTTCTTGGCTCTGAAGATCAGATATAAAATCTTCCATTTATTTTTTACCATTGTAACACCTAGAACCACGCTTATCAAAAAAGCAATTGAAACTGATGTTAGAATGTATATCACCAATAAAGACCTACAATTTTCTCTCAAAGTGACAAGAGACGAAACGGCTTCTGAAAAATTGAATTTTTTAGAACTTGCCAGTGAGCACTGATATAATTCAAACTGTTTAAAATGCATTCTATATGTAGTTATCCAAGATAGAAACTGCAAATTTTCGCATGAACATAAAAGTTTGTTATCAGATATATCAACTGTAACGTTGGAAGTTGAAAAAAGGGTTTCAAACGACCGCTGCTGAATAACGTCTATTGTTGTAAGTCTATTTTTAGCCAAGTTTATGTCTTTTAAATTTCTCATGTGATCCATTTTCACGCGCCATTCAGAAAGCAGGTTACCATTTAAATTCAGAACCTGAAGGTTTTGAAGATTCTTGAACATTAATCTTGGCAACACGTTAATATTGTCATATGATAAATCAAGTTCACGTACGGAAAGCAAATTTTCAAGTATCTTGCCCTCAATGTCATCAACGAAATGTTTTCCGATATCATTATTAGACAAATTTAAGATCTCCACTCCTGTTGCATATCTAAAAAACGATTTTGAAATGAATGAGCAGAAGTTATTGGAAAGATCTAGAATTGTTAAATTCTGGATTCCGTGAACAGGTCCAAGCCAAGAAAAGAAAAAGTTATCTTGTAAATAGAATTCCCGGAAACTTTTCGAATTTATCCCAAATTCTGGAATGGCTGTGTACAGTCGACTTGAGTTTGCATAAATTACTTCAATTGACTCAGGAAAATCAATTGTCACTAACCCATTGTCATTTGTACGGAAAATAGATTCAACAATTGACCCAATATTTTGGTATCTTGTATTTCTTTCGCTATATTTTCCAGCAAAAGGAAATTCACAGTCATCCCGTTTTTCTTGACAATTTTCAAATATTGATATCGGATATGGCGCCGGGCGAAGTTGGACACTTAGATTTAGGATTCGTAAACTATCCATGGAAAAGTAGTCTAATATGTATTTCCCTTGAGTTAATTTATTTTCACCCATTGATAATGTAGTTAACGAACCAGGAAGAACTCTCAAAGCTCCAGCCTCAAGCTGCTCTAGTCGATTTTTTTCAATGTATATTTCGGTCAGGTTTGTTTCTTGCAAGTTGATAAGATGATGTGTGAGAACTTTTGTCCCTATTCCAGTTAAACAGTTAATGCCATTTAATCGCAAAATCTGTATGTCTGTATGGTTGAGATTCTTTGTTATATTTGGAAGTGATGCAAATCCTATTCCCTTGTTATGCGAAACATCAAGATGTTGAAGTGATGAAAGATTACCAAATGCCCCATCTTCAATATCTAAGATTTCACATGCCGATACATCAATGTAGGTAATATGTGGTAAATGCCTAAATAAATCTTTAGGTAATACCCGAAACGAACAGTTTCCTGTGATTCCGGATAAATCCAAAATATTTAATTTTGTTAAGTTCATAAAACCTTCTCCAAATCTTATACCTCTCGGGCCGTCCATTTTCAAAATGTTTAATTCCTTTAAGTCTGAAAATGCGTCATCTCGTATAAGGATATTCTTTACCGGATTGATGTTTCCCTTCAGACTTATTTCTTTCAATGACTTCAAATCCGAAAATATTCCTTTATAAAACCATGAGATGTTTATGCAATTATATTCCAAGTTCAGCGTTTTTAGTTTTTCTAATCCGTGAAACGAAATGTTGCTCAACCATTTCAGCTTGTTTCTCGAGAGATTGATAAACTCAACATTCTTTGGAAAATTATTTTCAATTTTTTCAATGAAATTATCACTAAGATCGATCCAGGTACTATTTTCGTAAAAGTGTGGAATTTTATACAAACCCCTGTGGGAGCAATCAACTTTCGTTTGGTTCTTTAGGTCTTGGCAGGTACAATTCACTGATCCCAAGTCACAAAGATAAGATCTCGAAAAGGTGATTGACAATAATATACAAATCATTATTCCATACACATTCAATGAGCACAACATGTTTAAAGTAAATCCCATGATCCAGTTTCCAATGTAACTAGATTTGTGATTTTAGATTTGCTTTTTTTCATCCAAACTTACTTTTCTCTTTCAATTTATAAATGTTGTCCAGAACTTGCAGACATGATTACTCTTTAACTGGATTAAAGTCAGAGGAATTGAGGTTTTAAATCTTGTCAATACATACTTAAAACTGAGCTATTATATTAACAAATGAAGAAGTAACAGGACTTTATATGACTTTGTGCTAAAAATTAAATGAACCCTTTTTAAGAAGTAGAATTCAGCGATTTGATGTGCCTAAGATATTCATGATGTCATTTAATACTGAATTATTATATTAAGAAATAAAGAAGTAACAGGACTTTATATGACTTTGTGCTAAAAATTAAATTGTTCTTCAATCCTTTTTACCATGCATAGTAGAATTCAGCGATTTGATGTGCCTAAGATATTCATGATGTCATTCAATACTGAGTTAAAGTTTGTTAGCAATAAATTATCTACATTTCCAACAAAGAATACTATTATTTGCCTTTTAGATAAAGGTCAACAATGGTGCATTGATCATATGCAGTGGTTAATCATTTTACATTGAACAAAATACATGTACAAATTGTTTAATTATATTGAATTGATTGACGTGTCTGATTTATGTGATATGCATTTACAAATGGAATAACAAATACAGAATTCAAATAATCGCTGAACCGATATGATTTTGTTCAATGGTTTACATGTTATCAGTTTGAATGTTAACTGTTCGTTATTCATATATTTTCAATCCCTATCTTATCTAATGATGTCTAAAAATAAATATTATGAAATTTTAACCTTTAAATTTTTTTGATTTTTACAACAAACGTTTTATGATATTAATGAATATAATGATCTTTTAAAGAAGTTTTAGGCCTACAATCTATATGACGTTGTAAATATTTCAGAGTACATTAGTATCTTATAGTCGATGTGTTAAAGTATTGAGGAAAATGTTAGTATTTTTACAAGAACATTGAAATTTCTTTTAGAAAACTTGTGGAGAAGGACACATCGACACATATGTAAATTTAATATAAACATGATATTATATTTGCACGAGGAATCCAGGTACTTTTTAACATTTTACACTTTAAAACTAGGATTCAAGCAATATACATTTTTTTCTGCCTCATGTTTAATATTATGGAAACTTATGGCATTCGACAATAAGGTTTTTCAAAACTTGTTTACATAAGTATTTTAATTCAATTATCTTTTTAAAAAAAACACACACATATGGTATTGCCTCACATTGTGACTTTAAAAAATAACATTTTAAAAGATTTTTTTCATAATTTTCATTTAGTAGAGCAAAAAATTGAAATATATATCCAAAGGAAATGGATTGTTTCGTGCATCTGAATTCTCGGATTTTTTTGATTTTTTAAAATGCTTCTGAAGGGTAAAAAGACATGGATTGATGGAATAACCGTTGCGATAAAGCTATTTTATTTACTTTTTTATCTCGGTCATACATGTAGCTATTTTGAATGAGTATGTACAATGTAAAAAATGCCCAGTTTAAACTTCAATATTTTATTAGAATTCTTGTTGTTGGGTGCTATTATGTTTATCTTAACCCTCTGAAAGAGATTGGAAAATTTTCCCCAAACGTAAACATACTATTCTATTAAAGTTTTCCAAAGAAATGTTTTGATTGTTTTTCAACAACAAAGGATCAAGTACAGACTATACAAAAAAGCAAGTTCAGAAAGATAACTCTTGTAATCCTGAAAAATGCTATCCCATTTCAAGAAATTTAAAAAAAAATGGTTTTATTGTTTTTCAACAACAATTGAGGATTAAGTAAAGACTCCTTACAAAAAGCAAGATATCAGAAAGATATACATTTTCTTGTAATCCTTCCGAAGTACATTTTTAATGCTCATTTATCAAGAGGTTCATTGTGTTACATGTGACTTGTTATTTGTAAAAAGAATTCAAAGAAGATTCATTTCATTGTAAAGATTTTATTGAAGAGAGATAAATTTGAAACTGTTAATAAACTAAATGAGTTGTGAGAATGTTACAGTATATGAGACTATATTTTAGGTAATCTTCAACTCGGCTTGGAAAAAAATAAGTTAATACTCATTTTGAAAGTGTACAATGTACAGAGTTAGGTAAGACAAACAGTAAGAATGTAAACGAGAGATGTAATGTTATGCAGATGAAGATACTGTGAATTTACTAATTTTTAAAGGGGTTAGTTTTTGGTGCTTGCGAGGTGTGAAAAGACACTCGTATTGATGTCCACCACAAATGTAAAAGGCCATCTACATTACTATTCAACAACAATTCATCCAATAAATTCAAACCTTTTGAACCCTTAGGTTTTTGATCATGCACGAAAATTTACCACTACAAAAATATGTGATTTTACAGTGCTTCAAAGTTCAAGAAACTTTTGGAAAATTTGAACTCACAAAACTTACTTAGACAACAACATAAAATTGTACCATTTTCCAACTTTCTATATAATCATTCCCAACTATAGATTAAAGTCTAGGGGGCCGTTTTTTAGAAGAACTTACGACTAAGACCAAAACTTTAAGTTGGTAATAAAAATTTACAAAATGAATGTTTGGAATTAATATCTTTATCATGAAAATCACATTCCTTTCATAAAGTTTTAAACCATTTTCATTTAAATGCAAATAAGAAAGTAGTGTTAAATCTAGACCCTAAAAAGGGCATGGTAATCAAGGAATCAAAAGGGCACTTTGTGTCGCGACAGGATCTCACAAGGGCACTTTTAAAACAAATGTTAATTAATGTGTTTAATTAAAATTATATTAAACGTTTATTAATTTTTACATACTTTTACGTGTTTATTATAATAACTTTTAATATCCTTTCATATAATCTTTTTTTAATAAAGTAATTTAAAGAAAATATCTGTTTTAATCATTTTTTTTAATTTTACCAACACATGAAGCACACCTGGGTTGACATGACAATTATTGAAACAAAAAGAATATAAAAAAGGCATTTACATCCAATTTCTTTGATTAAAAAAGAAGGAAGGTTACATTTTGAGAAAGGAATTGTATTAATCTATCTGAAATATGTGCAAAAATTATATAAAGTTTGGAGGTAGGATTTTTTTTTACCTGCTTGGACTGTGTTAAAATTTTAAAGCACAGTCAAGTTAAACATTAAACAAAAATACGATTTTTTTTCAGGGAAAGCAAAGGGGGGGGGCATTTTGAAAAATACATGAAGAGACCATTATCTCTTTACTTTGAAATAATTCTGAAAAACATGGTCCAGTGAAAATTTAAATTTAAGCCAAAAAAATGCAGTGCCAAGTATAATTTGCTTTAAAAAAAAATCTGGCTTTAATCATAAAAACATTGATGCCTATATTTTAAATTTCATAGCATTTTGAAAAAACAGAAAAGATATCTTGTTGTTTTTAAGCCTTTTTATCGCATTACATTAATTTTTTTGTACACTGTAATTATTTTACACTAAAATATATCGTTTTCTCTTATTCAAAATGTGTTTTTTAAATATTTAAAAAAAAATGTTAAAGTTAATTAGTTAATAATTTACAAATTAATTTACTTTGGTCTTTGGCTAATTCTTGCGTAATCAATGCGCGCAAATGAAGTTTCTGAAGTTGCAATCCTCTACCTACACACCTATTTAATTAAAAAGGTTTTAGATCAGTTGGCGTGAAGTGATTTCCTGTCTTTGTATACACAAAGGGATTATCAGCATGCACTGAATAATCAGAACTGCAAAAAAAAGCCAAAAAATAATATTTAATAATTTTAATGGAAATAAGAAACGCTGGAAAAAAGGGCATGGCGCCGAGAAAAAGGGGCATGGCGCCGCGCCATGCTAGTTTGCTTCAGATTTAACACTAGAAAGTTAAAAGCAGAATGATTTTTTTTCTCAGTCGTCAGTTTTTTTTTTTGTTTTTTTTTTGTTTTTTTTTTTGTAAAACGGCTCCCATGTATTTTGAAATCACAAGCCCCGTTCACCAAAAAAAATTAAACATTTCAAATTCTGAGTAATAATGGATTATGGAAATATGAGAGAGTCTATCAGAATCTTGGCACAACGACCTTATACATATATGCATATGCTTTGATCCGATAAGCGCCGAAAAACGAACGGAATTCATAAAATTATTATTTGCGTAGATAAAATATTTATCTCCTTATTTTTTCAATCAAAAACAGAACATATTGTAAATTGTATTACTGTGTTCTGCTATACGTATATATACTCAAAAATAGTATTGAATTTAAGATCATAGTTTAAAAGCCAAGTAAATGAGTAGATGAAGGATATGGAGATAACGAACAGTATTCAATTTCAAAGTCCATAAACAATACAAAATAGGAGCAGAACAAACACGGACCTTCGAAACATCCTCTGTGGGATCAGGAGCCATGGAGGAGTGAGCATCCCTTGCTGACCGGTCAAACCCGCCGTGTGCTCCTTGTCATGATCAGGAAATAACGGAAAAATCCGTCGTCAATTCAGTGTATAAATAATGGACTAACAATTAGTATGAAAAAATTTAGTCAGCATTTGACTCAATGATAAATTTTATTTGCTGACAAGGTCATTGTATCGACCATAGAACTTACAAAATGATGACTTTAAACGAGACTGCTTATATTCTTGTTTCATCAACTTGCTTGTCAATAATTTTCCTCCTTTAATAAAATGTTCATACGTAGAGCATACTCTTGCGTATCGAATCAATTGGGATATATATACTCCGTATGCAGGTGATGAAGGTATATTGCTGCATGAGTAAGGGAAGTTGACTATAGAAAAGTTGAGGTCATCACGTTTATCAGTATGCTTGGTTGTTACATTACCATTATTGTCTTTTTGAAGTAAAATATACAAGTATGAAACAGATGTGTCAGACTCTGTGGCATCTTTTATTTCAAGCTCACCGGGATATTCCGTATCTACGAAGTAATGGAAACTACCATTGTTATTTGACA